TCCTATCGCTGGCCACCAATGAAAACAGCTTGTCCCCTTCCTCCCTGCATTCTCCCTTCCTGAACTTATACACATTAATCATATCCCCTCTGAGCCGTCTCTTCTCCAGAGAAAACAGGCCCAGCTCACTCAGCCTCTCTTCATACGAGAGATGTTCCATTCCCTTCATCATCCTGGTTGCCCTTCTCTGGACCCTCTCAAGAAGCTCCACATCCCTCCTATACTGGGGTGCCCAGATATGACCAGTACTGAGAAAAAAAAAAAAAGGATTTGTGCATGAATTGGGTATGAGAACAAACAATTTGCATACAAAACAGAAAATTAAGGTTAGCAAACTTGTAGCTTTTGTAAAACACAGAGAGTTGCAGCTAACATAAGAATGAGACCTTCCAAGGACCTAATATGGGAAGAAGACATGAAAGCATGCTCCTATTTGATGGGCGCATTGGCACATCTAAACTTTTAAGGAAGAGAAGACAAAATGATTCCTACTATTTTTGATTATTATTAATCAACATCTCACATTAACATTCACTATGTTATCATGAGTATTACCAGGCTATCGTTTCATATATTACCATATTGCCATGACAGATCTTACCATGTTGCCCAAATAAATTTATTTTATTTAGTGGCTCTCCACTTCTAGGGCTTTACCAGATTATCCATTGGCATATTGTCTTCATAAGGTGTTCAGCACTTTTCAGGAGCTTAACCAGCATCATAGATTCTCAACTAACCTCTAGCATAGGAGATCATATTAAATCAGCCTGGGAGGGTTGGCATGATGGAAAGGTGACCAGGTTGTACAGGAGCAAGAGCGATGATTGCTCTGAATGTTCTAACAAACGTGCTACAAACACCAAGTCTGTATYAAGCAGACCTTCGAGAAAGAGAAGCCTGCAGCCACCCTCACCTTTTGTCTCTGTTACTGTCCAAGTATCAGACATGCTCGGCTCTCGTGTGAGCAGAGAGTGCACGTGTGCTCACGTGTACAACTAAARAAGATAAAGACCTTTCAACACAGGCTTCTGCTACTTGTAAACACCTGAGCTGCCAAACTCCATCTTGTTAAGCTTGTTAAATAAGATGGTTACTCCTCTATATCATGAATAGAACTTCAGACGGTGACTACAGTTAGTACCGACTGCATGTTTTCAACCAAGCAACAAAATACAGCATCAAATACACCTCTGTACAGAGTAGGAAAGTGCCTTTTTTTAAACCATATCTAGTCAAATTTTAGAAAGGTGCATTAAAATTTACTAGCCAAATRGGAATATGATATAAGAAAGGCATTTGATTTATATAGTTTTATATCATRGAAGACTTTCAACAGAAACTTGTACTATTTCATTACAAATTTTCCTTACCAGCCCGAATTAGTAGCCTCAGACATTCTCCTGAGTTGCGGACCGCTGCTTCATGGATTGGCATCCATCCCCTGTTATCCGGGACATCAATGCTGTATCCCTCTTTAATTAGTTTCCTGAGCATTTTCACATTTCCTTCTCTAGCTGCAAGTCCCACAGCAGAACATCGATCAGAATAGGCCTCTGTGAAATCCATTCTTCATAAAGGAAATTCTGAGGTAAGGATGGGAAGAGAAAGAAGGAGAGGGAAAAAAAATAAGCATCTGTTAGTATAAAATATACATATACAGATTACAAAAGCCCAGAATAATTTAAAATATGGGGTTACAATCACCAGGATCTGTCCAGTTTGCCTCACTTCACAGGCATGTCCTATTTCTGAATGAACTGTAAAATGGAGCCTTGCAGCAGCACCACTTGCAAAGAAATATTTGTCGTTTCAGGAACATTTGAAGTCTCACACAAAACTGCTTTAGTTATTAACCCGAGCATTTGGGCTCATTACTGCTAACTATATTGCACATATAGTTGCAAAGCAGGTACTTCTGAAATGCTTTATCTTTTACTATTTTCATAAGCTCGGGCATGGCCAAAGTGCATGGCACCRGCCTCAAAGCCCTACAGCCTAGGGAGCCAAATCTGTTTCTAATGAAATCTTCATGAATGCATTACACATGTGCAAACTATAGGCCAGTTCTAGGATTAGGTTAGAAACTTATGTGAGAGAAATAGCAAAAATAACACATCATCATAATAATACAAATGAAAAAAAGCTGCTAAGGCTAGTTTGTTGGCCTTGACTCCAAGCAAGCAGGTTCCAGTCCTGTTCCAGTCCCACCTGCTGCTGAGGAGCAGGATACACAAGTCCTCTTGGATCTTTGCTAAATAATATAACATCATAAGGGTGCTGAGAGCTGATCTAACCCCCAGGTGACTAAATTAAATAATGCTGAATGCAGAAGGCTCACAGAGCTAGGGAGGCAGCTCTCAGCCCGGAAGGCCTCTCTCAGAAGAGCCTTCCCAGAAAKCGATCTCTGCCTAATCCTGATCGCAAGCCCACCAGAGGAGGGAAGGATGTGTTTTTCCTTCCCAGTTACCAAGGGCTTCGACACCAAGCTTCTTTTTACCAGGTCATTCTTGTGAATCCATACACTAGAGGAATACAGCATTTTTTTAGGAAAATGAGACAGAGCTAAATGGCTTTGACCAAGATCCCAGGTCTTACCAGACKGAGAACACGAGTGCTACAGCTTCTTCTGTGGGATCTGCTCACCTAGACCTTTCTTGTTTTCCCCCCCGCCGCCACACAAACAAAAGGAAAACTCAAGCTACACTAACGAACAGCTAAGATTTGCTCCCTGAAGTGCCAAGAGATACTCCTGAGCTGCAGATCCCATTAAATTCGGAAACCCGAGAAGAGCTCCAGAGTATCAAGCTCGGGAACCTAGCGGGGCAGCCCTGAGGAGGTAACTCAAGGCAAGTCAGCCTGCTAAGATGTGAGTGCCACGCTTTTGTTTTCARTTTTGCTTTGCTTTTTAAGGGAAGGAGAAAATATATATGTATCTCCCTTGCTCTTTCTCCCCGATGTGAGGTTTCCTGAGGGGCACTATGCACTCAGCTACCTAAAAGAGGCGACTGCCAACACCCGGCGCGGAGTCACTTTGCGGCTCGCTCGCTCCCGGGGCGCCGGGCGGGCCCATTCCCGGGCGGGCCCATTCCCGGCGGCCGCTCCCGGGGCACCAGGCCCCGCTCCCGCGGAAGCTGCGGGCGGCTGCGAGGGGAGGGGGCCCGCAGGCCCCGCGGCCCCTCCCGGCGCGGCCCGAGTGCGCAGCGGCCGCTCCG